GGAAACAGAGCCGACCCTCTCTCTGCTTCCCCACGCTGCGGGCTCCAGCACGGGGCCCAGCCTGCTTCTAGGCCACTTCTAGGTAGGGATGTGAGGATCTCTCCTGTTGTTCTCCAGACTGACCACAAGAACTCTTCTGCTATTTGCCAACCGCGGACTCACCGGTTCCTGCGCCCCGCGGTCCCACAGATGACGTTCATGTTCTCAAAGCGGATGCTGCTCACGCTGCCGCTCTCCATGGCCCCAGGTAGTTCGGCCTGCAGCGCCTCCAGCACCTCTAGGTGGGTAAGGTCCTGCTCAGGCTGGGGGAGTCGGAGAGCGAGCCTCAGTCGGCGACACGGGGTTCATTCCGGGTTCAGAAGTCCCCACCCCGAACCCCACTTGCAGAACTTGCCGGAGTCCCGGGTGGCATTCGAGGGGCAAGGATCACACCTGAGCAGAAGGCCCGTTCCCCTCGCGTCAGAGCGGGGAGGAGAGGCATCTCCCAGGGAGAAACGCATCTACTGTCATTCAAGGTCATTCTCCAAATTATCAGTTCTCCCCAACTGATTTGTCCCAAGTCACCAATGGGGCCCACTTTGCCAATCTACTGAAAACCTTTCCAGCAACCTGCATTGGACGGCAAGCTTTCAGCAACTCTTGAAGATTTTCGCAAAGATTTAAGTCACACACTTTCCACTAGAGGCCCTGTGCACGGATTTGTGCTCAGCCTGGCCTGTGCCCTGTCACAATCCGGGACCCCTCGGGGGATGTCGGACTGCCAGTTTTGGCCCAATCCCTGTAGTAGTGTGCAAAGTGGCAGGCAACCCACTGGGGCGGAGCTCCAGCCCAGTGGGGCACCACCTGCTCCGGCTCATCCCAGCCCTGTGCTGCGCTCAGTAGCTGTCTACCAGGCAGTAGAGGCTCCTGCTGCCACAGTTTGGCTTGCCAGCCATGAGCCTGGCAGTGTCTGGCGCCCATGGGTCAGCTGAATGGTGTTCCCACTGTGGGAGTGCGCTGACCACCAGGGGGCAACTTTTGCATTGAGCATCTGCCCCCTGGTGGTCAGTGCACGTCATAGCGACCAGTTGACCAGTCATTCGGTTACTTAGGCTTTTATATATATATATAAAATCAATATATATATATAGATTAGATCAATGGTCACCAATGGTGGTCCGTGAGGTCCAAAAGGTTGGCGACCGCTGGATTAGATGTTCAGTTGTCAAAAACTAAGGGTCACAGGGAGTTCTAACTTCCTGTGAGTCTATTTAATGTTTAGAAACACACATTAGTCATTATCACGTTTTCAGCATGAGAGTACCATGTCGAAGGTAATGCCATTGTCATAGCATATAAAACTGTAGAGGAACTAAAAGTCATGGAAATTGGTCTCCTCCAGGAAGGCAAGTCTTGGAGGGCAGTGGGAAGGAAAGGGGTCCGACGTTCAAAGCCATAAAGAAGAGAAACAATGGGATGGAGATTTGTCCCTAAAGTGAGGACAGCAGTCCTTGTGTTGGGGTGAAGTCACCCAGATCGCTGAGGGAGGGCCTCTGAGCGGTGCCTGGCGCACAGTAAATGTCCATTCATGCCCAGTCTTCTCGCTTGACTTCTGCCCGAGTGAGACCCTAACAGTTATCTCCTCTGACTGAGGTCAGGGGCTGCCAAAGGATTTGTACACTGAATTACCAATTCGGGGAATCTATTAAAAACACGAGCTTTTTCTTAGGTGTTTGCTATATCTGTAAACTTTACAGAATTTCAGAGTAGATGGATTAGCAGACTCCCTTTGTCCTCAGTCTCCCCCCCTCTGCCCCTCTGGGATTAGCAGTGACACATCTGCCAATTGACTCTTGAACAAATTCACAATCACTTTTCAGCAATCTGTGCTGGTGCCAAGCCCACAGCTGGTAAGCCCAGAGCCTGGTTCAGTGCCTGTGCCCTTCCCATCACCCCACCCAGTGCCCCAAGGGCGAGGGGCCACTCACCGAGCTCTCCAGGCACAGGCAGAGGGGCTGGGCAGCGGGGGGCGTGAGGAACTTCCGGATGCACGGGAGCTCTCGGTCCAGCGTTTCATACTCTGCTACCACCTGGCGCAGGTACTGCTTCCTGGGGAGAGAGCCAGTGGGCAGCAAGGAGCTCCAAGGCCAGGGGTAGCTGTCACTGCACTCCAGGGCGCTGAGGTCAGAAACCACGGGGCCGGGCTACTTACGAGGACTTGTTGGGCCTGCACAGGCTCCAAGCCTGGGTCTCTTCTGAGGTCTCGAGGTCTGCAAGGAGGGCTCCTAGAGACAGAGAACCCAGCTGCCCTGAGCGCTCCTCACATACGATTAAGCCTCCTGGTTGGAACTTGACTGGGCCCTTCTAGACAACCCCACAGTCGGCTCACTGGTCCTTTAAGGCCAGCTGCTAGCTGCCTCCCATTTTCCTCTTCCTCTACAGTCCTAAAGTTCTACCTGCACGCAGTCGCCCAGCTAGAGACGACAGTTACCAGGCTCCCTGGCACCTAGGTGTGGCCATGTGACCACGATCTCACCCGGAGTGTTAGAGGGAATGAGGGTGCATCTTTGGAGTCGTTCGTTTAAAAGAAGATTGTTCGGGAGTGGATGTGGCCAGAAGCCAGCTTCAGCCATACTAAAGATGGGGGAGCCACAATACAGAGGGAACCTGGGTCCCTGAGTCATCTTTAGGGGTAAGATGTCCCACCGATCTGGAACACCTGCTTCCCATTACACAAGAGAGAAAGAAACTGTCTTTTTTTCCCTTCCCATCACCCATGAAATCCACAATAGCTTTCACTTTGAAATATGTTATTTTTATTATTTTTTTATTTTAAAATATATTTTATTGATTTTTTACAGAAAGGAAGGGAGAGGAATAGAGAGAAACATCGATGAGAGAGAAACATCGATTATCTGCCTCCTGCACACTCCCTACTGGGGATGTGCGCGCAACCAAGGTACATGCCCTTGGCCAGAATAGAACCTGGGACCCTTCAGTCTGCAGGCCGACGCTCTATCCACTGAGCCAAACCAGTTAGGGCTAAACTGTCTTCTTAATGTCACTGTGTGTGGGGTCTCTTTGTTACAGCAGCTGAACAAAGGGGAATGCCACTCTGGACAGCCAGGAGCTGGGCTGGCATCCCGTCAGGCCCCGCTGCCCTCTCGTTGACATAGTTTGACAGAACACCACCATCAGCCAAGGCCACTCCGTGACCCCGATGGACCCAGATCAAATGAAGACCACTCCAGGATCACATCTCAACACAACAAAATGTGAGTGCTGCCCAAACAACCCCCGCGTGGTTCAGATGCGGCTGCTTTTCCCATCATAGTGTCAGCTCCATCCACTCCTCCTGCCTCAGGACTGGCCTCCGCTGCCTGCCAGCATCGGGCCCAGAGCAGAGCCCAGCTTCCCTGGACCCTCCCAAAGTCCCCTAAGGCAGCTCAGCTCCTATAGAAAGTCCTCTCTGGCACCCCCTTACTCAGATGTTGCATGTGTTATGGCCTCCGTCATTACAAGTCAATACATTCAATGGTCTCTCTCTCTCTCTCTCTCTCTCTCTCTCACACACACACACACACACACACACGGCAGCATTTGCCAGTTTTCCTGGTGTCAATACTCCCACCATAACCAATTTCACGCTACCCATGGTTTTAACAACCAGTTTGCAAAACTCAGCGATGGCTCCTGGGAGCCGCCACAGGCCGCCTCCAGCCCTGAGCTGTCAGCACTGTGCTCCTGGTGCTCTTGGACTTCGGGGCTCTGCTCCCCGTCCCCCCACCTCCCACATGTTCCCACAGGGCAGCGGAGGTGATTTTCACGTCTCAGCATCCCGGCCTACAACCCTCAGCGGCTTCCTTTTGCCTTCAGGGTCCGCCCCAGACTGACCGGGTCAGAACTGGCATTTTAACAAGATCCCCTTGGAGAAGCACCTGCCCTGTGTGTGGTCGCTCCTGTTGGCCTCTCTGATCATCTCCCCCCCATCCCTTCAACACAAGAACCTCCTTCTCCGTCCACTTAACAGTAACTCCATGGGTACAGTCCCTTTTAAAGGGCCAAGCACCTTCACAAGCGCTTTCTTCTGCATCTGCATGACAGCTTTCTGAGGGGGTGTAGTTGAGCAGACAATGAAATGGAAGCACAGAGCGGTTGAGGGGCTTGCCCAAGCTCACAGAGCCCACAGCGATAGAATCAGGATAAAAGTCTAGGTGTCTGGATCCGCAGTCCGTGCTCCCAGCCCCACAGGCTCCTGCCTCCCACCCCACTCTTGTCTAGACAACAGCCTCCTAATCCATCTCTCCTCACCCCAGCAGACTAGCATTTGGAAGTGCTGAACAGATCATCCTGCCCACTCCCTCCCCAGACTTCTCAATTGGCGTATCCCCATTACCCTCCGGGTAAATTCAGTCCAAAGTTCTCCCTGTGGCTCACAAGACCACACCTCATCTGACCCTGCTGGTGTCTTCAGCCCAACCAGGCAGGCCATCCTCATCCCAGAAGCACTTCCGGGACTGGAACTCCCTGTCTCCTCCCGCCTTGGGGCCTTGGTCTTTATGCAAAATAGAATATGGCCATCTGCAGGAACTTCCCAGAATTCTCTTCAGCCCCAAGACTCAGGAGCACTTATGGCCACGGTGGGTTATTAATTATTTGTGAGACGCAGTGTGTCCTGCCTGCCCTCCCTGCCTAAGAACAGGCTGCGTCATTTCATTCATTAGTCTCTACAGGCAAAATGCTGGGGACCCCCCAGGGCGTTCTGATGCCCTAGGCCTGTGGTTGGCAAACTGCGGCTTGAGAACCACATGCGGCTCTTTGGCCCCTTGAGTGTGGCTCTTCCACAAAATACCACGTGTGGGCGCGCACGTACAGTGCGATTGAAACTTCGTGGCCCATGCGCAGAAGTTGGTTTTCGGCCTGGGCGAGTCTATTCTGAAGTACTGTTGATATTTGGTTCTGTTGACTAATGAGTTTGCCGACCACTGCCCTCGGCCAAAGTCTGCAGCCGGATGAGCTGAAAACATTACTGGTTCCAAAATACCACAAAGATAACAGCAAAACTAAACACGAACACGTGTTGATAGTCAAAACCAGCCAACTGGTCGACTCAATTCCACTCAGCTTCTCTGGAGCTAGACACAGATTATACTGATCAAGTAAGTGCCTCAGTCCAGGTTAGAGAGGACGGAAGGCGGGGTCTCCAAAAATAGAGTCCTTCAAAGACAAGAGCAGAGGACAGCGACAGTGGAGTCTGATTTGCAAGCAGGGCATGTGCTATGCTGAGTATAGCACCTGGCACCGAGTAGGTGCTTATAATAGCAGACACCGAGAAAGGAGACCTCCTCAGCCATTCCTATCCTCTCCCCTCTTTTTTTTTAAAATATATTTTATTGATTTTTTACAGAGAGGAAGGGAGAGAGATAGAGAGTTAGAAACATCGATGAGAGAGAAACATCGATCAGCTGCCTCCTGCACATCTCCTACTGGGGATGTGCCCGCAACCCAGGTACATGCCCTTGACCGGAATCGAACTTGGGACCTTTCAGTCCGCAAGCTGACGCTCTATCCACTGAGCCAAACCGGTTTCGGCCTCTCCCCTCTTTTGAGGGGGAGGGTCCATTCTTCGCCCAAGCAACTCAAGGGAGGCTCACTGATCCCCCTTGGGGATATCCCATCACATTTAAACCGATGCCTTCCGACCCCACTGTTCATCATCCTTACCTGGTAAACATTTAAAAACTAGATATGCCGAAGCCGGTTTGGCTCAGTGGATAGAGCGTCGGCTTGTGGACTCAGGGGTCCCAGGTTCGATTCCGGTCAAGGGCATGTACCTTGGTTGCGGGCACATCCCCAGTGGGGAGTGTGCAGGAGGCAGCTGGTTGATGTTTCTCTCTCATCAATGTTTCTAACTCTCTATCTCTCTCCTTTCCTCTCTGTAAAAACTCAATAAAATATATTTAAAAAAAATAAAATAAAATAAAAACTAGATAGATGCTAAGGCCCCAGTCCTAGAGATTCAAGTTAAATTGGATCTGAAGTGCAATCGGGCATAGGTTTTAAAAAAGTCTTCCACCTGGTGGGTAGCTGGAGCTGAGGACCACTGACTAAAAAAATTGTGATAATTTCATTCCTTCTGCCAGCAATTGAGATAAGAGTGAGCAGGTGCGGATCAGTGAAATATGAAATCGTTTTCAGAAATCTGAAATCTGAAGAGGAAGCCCCCTGGACGCGATGCCTGGAACTGGGGCAGCCATCCTGTGACCATGAGGTTAGCTGGCGTGCAAAGCGACTCTGTCCCAGACCAAAGAGCATGGAAATGGAAACAGCTCTCAACGGCATCACTGAGCTGCTGACTCAACCAAACCCCACCCCACCTGTGGGCTTCATTTTGGGTGAGACAATGACTTTCTTATTCTTGATACTAAGTCTCGTTTTCTATTACCTGCTAGGCAAATGCACTTTTACCCAGATATATTATTCAATGCATGTTGAATGGGAGAACGAATGAGTGTGCAAGTAGGGAGCCCTGGAACCTGAACCTGATGTTATCAGCTGGTGTCGGGCCCCACGGGGCCTGGCCCACCAGGCTGAGGGTCTGGGGCGCTGTCCCTGGAGTGATGAGGAAAGAGGGAGCGCTGTGAGCAGGGGAGAGACAGAATCCGCGCTGGTGTCGGGAAGAGCCCTCTGGAGCCAGGTGGGCAATGGCTGGAGGGGAGAAACTGGGGACCAGGCAGTAAGGCTGAGAAAAGGCCCATCGGAAAGGAAAGAGCTGAACTGGGGCTGTGCGGATGCTGAGGCAGGGGTGGGGCAGAGAGAGTGGGATGGGAGATGGGGCTGGGGACTGATGGCTGTGGGAGGGGATGGGGCAGCACCTGGGATCTAGCCCAGTGATCAGTTGGCGATGGGGTCATTAGAAGATGGGAAGCAAGGAGGAGGAGGGACTTTTGGGGAAGATGCTGAGCTCAGTGTGGGAGACAAGAAGAGTGTGAGGCCCCCGCCGGTGTGGCTCAGTGGTTGAACACTGACCTATGAACCAGGAGGCCACCTTGGATTCCCCGTGAGGGCACATGTCTGGGATAGGGGCTCAATCCCCAGTAGAGGGCATGCAATAGGCAGCTGATCAATGACTCTCATCATTGATGTTTCTATCTCTCTCTCTCCTCCCTTCCTCTCTGAAATCAATTAAAATTAATTAATTAATTAAAAAAGAAGAGTATAAGGGATCAGGCAGGGCTTCTGAGATAATGGCCTCAGAGGAGTAGTTGGGGCCCCAGAGGCTCATGGGAAATGTAGTTCTGTGTCCAGCACATTGGCCAGGGAACTGCAGAGGCTTGTGGGAAATGTAGTGTGAGGTCCAAAGAGTACTGGTCGACCTAAGAGTCTGCGTGGCTCTCTCCTGGGAAGGCCAGTGACTCCCTGGAGGCTACAGGCCAAGTCTAGGACTCACTACATGAAGAAAATTCCCACGCTACCCCCTCTCCCCCCCCCCCCCCTACACACACAGACAGACAGACAGACGCGGCTTGGTGTACCTGCTTCCCTGTGCATGCTGGGGGTGCCCAGGGCGGAGGAGCTCGGGGGCTCCCCCTCCTGCTGCATCCTGGGAAGGCGGGCGGGGGGTGTCTCAGGAGGGTGGGAAGAAGAGCTCTGACTGGGCCACCCACCCCAGCTCCTTCTCGTCCTGGCTGCCTCCTCTTTCTTTTTGACCCCCGGGGGAGCACACAGAGAGGCACGGGGAGGCTGGGCCCACATGGGGATTCTGGTTCCGTGGACCGCGGGGAGCCCCTGCGGGCCCCAGGACCCCCTCTCCCACTTTCCCGCTTCCTCCCCCCTCTCTCCCTGCTTCCTGGAGTCTCTCCGCTCCCCCCTCTCCCGCCCTCTCCCTCCCTCACTCTCTCCCCATCTCTCTGCTCCTCTCCCTCTCTCCCGCTCTCCCACTTTCATGTCCCTGACATCTAATCTCTCCCTCCGTCTCTCCTCTAGGCTTCCCCTGGGTTTCTCTGCCCCCTTCCTCCCCATTTCTCTCCCCCTTCCTGGTTCTATCTCCCCAGTCTCTTCCTTTAACAATGTCCCCAACATCTCCCCCGACCCCCGACCCCGCCTCTATTCATAGTCGCCTGCTTTTCTCTGACCCCCTCGCCCGCTCCCTGCCGCCTGGCCTCTCTCCCCATCTCTCCCCCGTCTCCCTTTTCCATCTCTCCCCACCTCTCCCCGCTCAGGGCTGCCTCTGCCCCACCTCTCGGCTCCTCTCCCCTCTGTCATCCCCCTTCTGTTCCCACTTGCCCTCCGTTCATCCCTGTCTCAAGCAGGAACTGGTTAGACACGGTCAAGATTCAAACGGAAACTGGGTTCTAGGTGGGGGAGGGAAAGGCGAGCAGGGGGCTTGGTTGTCATGGTACCTACAGAAGGCGGGGGTGGGGCTGGGGACTCGGACTCCTGGGTCTGCGGGAGGAGGGGCGGGGCCTGGACTCCTGGGTCTGAGGGAGGAGGGCCTGGGGACTCGGACTCCTGGGTCCGAGGGAGGAAGGGCTGGGGGCCTGGGTCCGAGGGAGGAGGGGCTGGGGATCAGGCTCCTGGATCCCCCTGGTGCAAGAAGCCAAGTCAAGCCCCTTCTCTCCTCCCAGGAGACCCTCCGCACTGCCCTGGCCATGGGCGCAGACCGAGGCATCCACGTGGAGGTGCATCTGGAGGGGAAGGGTCTGGGGGCTCCTGGGTCCCAAGTGAAGCAGGGAAAGGGTCTACCGCATAGGTGCCCATTAGGCACCCATGTCTTTGTATCTGCCAACAGTCAGATTCCTGATGATGACTGGGGTACTGGATCCAGCCGTGCCTGAAACCCTCTCCCACACAATGAATTCCCCCTTATGCTCAGGTCATTTGTGCTTCTGTCATTGGCAATGAAAACAGTCCAGACTTCATTAGACTCATTTCCAGACTCAGTCCCTCTGTGGCCCTGACTCCCTTCCACCTCCTTATGTCTGGGTCTCCCATCAGGCTGGCCTCCATTTCTGTCCCCAAGCCCATCCCTATAGGAAGGGAGCATCCTTCATCCCAGGCACACCTGGCGCAGAGCCCACCAGTCCCCAGGCGCTCCCCCTTCTGCCCCCTGACCCTGCATCCTCTCCTCCTCATTCCTGGGGCCGGGGCACCCCCTCAGCTCCATCCTCTCCGCCTGCACCCTCTCCCCAGCCTCCTTCTGTGCTCCTGTCCCCACTCCTTTCCCCACAGGGTTCCAGTGCAGCGGTTCTCAACCCTCTGGCCCTTTAAATACAGTTCCTCATGCTGTGACCCAACCATAACATTATTTTCGTTGCTACTTCATCACTGTCATGTTGCTACTGTGATGAATCGTCATGTAAATATCTGATATGCAGGATGGTCTTAGGCGACCCCTGTGAAAGGGTCGTTCGACCGCCAAAGGGGTCGCGACCCACAGGTTGAGAACCGCTGCTCCAGCGGGTTCTTTCTGTGCCCAGAGCTGACCTGTCCCTCCCCTGCGTGCAGCCGCCCCGTGGCTCCCCAGCATCCCTGGACCACATTCCCATCCCTCATCCAGGCGTCTGAGATTTGCACGATCTGGTCCCGCGCTCCTCTCCCCTCTCACCCCTTCAAACATTGTCCAGTCACCTTTGATTAATTCTCTCATGTAGCGAATCCCTCCCGGGCCACTCCTGCCTCCGCACCCCACATGCTGAATGCCCCTCTCCACCCCCCTTTTCCCGGAGCCGAAAATGCCCTGGTCCTTTCCTAGAAGCTCAAATGCTCCCTCCCGCCGGGAGCGGCCTCTGACCCCGCCTCCTCCCTGGCGCGCCTCCTCTGCTCCCTCCGGGGACTCCGAACACTGTCCTCTCCGTCTGTCTTTTCAGGGATTTGACCCTGTGTCTGCCTCCCCCGCCAGCCCAGCAGCTCCTAACTCCCCTCCGGCCCTCCTCCCGCATCACCCCCTCTGGGAGGCGCAGAATGCGTGTGTTGAGTGAATACACGAGTGACTGCGTCCCTCTGTCGCCGTGACCCACACTCTGAGCCCCAGCCCCATCTTCCCGTCCCCTTTGGTCAGGGGCGCGGCGAGAACCTGGACTCTGGAGTCAAACAGGCCGGCACTGAGCCAGGTCCAGGCTGTGCAACCTCAGGCAAATGTCTTCCCCTCTCTGTGCCTCGTCTTCTGACGGGCTCTCTCTCTTTCCTCCATGGAAGGGTCCTCTCTCTCTCTCTCTCTCTCTCTCTCTCTCTCTTTCTAAAGTCTGCATCTCTCTTTTTCCCTCTGTGTGTCTCCATTTCTCTGTCGTTATGTTTCTTCCTCTCTCTCTACCTGTCTGTCCTTGGAAACCTGCCTTATCTCACTCTGTGTCTGAATTTGAGTTTCTGTTCCATGTATCTCTAGTCTGTATCTTTCTGTGTCTGTCTCCATACCTTTCCGCATGTCTGTCTGTCTGTCTCTCTGTGTGTGTTTGTCTCCGTTGCTCCATTTCTCCGACTCTGTTTCTCCATGTCCATTGCTCTGCCTTAGCCCCACCTGCCTCCCTCTGTCACGCACCCCCTCTCCCAGGCCGGATCTGTCCCCCTCCCCGCCTGACGCGAAGCCTGGGACACGAATCCCTGAATCAGCATTTCCTCCTCTTCCGGAAATTTTCTCAGCACCGCAGGGGGGAGGGGCTAGCTGCAGCCTGGTCAGAGGGTTTGCCTCTCCCCCCAGAGCTTGTTCTCTCCACGGGGCACCCGGAGAAGAGGTGCATCTGTGTTTACACACGAGGACGCGTCTGTGGGTGTGAGACTGCATTTATTTCCAGTCACATTTGTGTGTGAATCTGTAGGTATTTGTGCAAGCTCATTCATTCACTCATGCATTCATGCATCCATCCATGCATCCATCCATTTATCCTTACATCATCCTGCTATCCATCCACCTACCCATCCATCCACCCTTCTATCTAACCATCATCCACTCATCCATCCCTTTATCCATCCATCATCCACTCATCCATCCACTCATCCACCCATCCATTCATCATCCACTCATCCATCCATCTGTCCATCCATCTACCCATCTATCCATCCATCCTTCTATCCAACCATCATCCACTCATCCATCCATTTATCCTTACATCATCCTTCTATCCATCCATCCACCCATCCACCTACCCTTCTATCCATCCATCATCTACTCATCCATCCACCAATCCCTCTATTTATCTATCTACTTGTTCATTCATTTATTCATTCAACTAACCAATATTTTTTGAGTGCCTACTGTGTGCCAGGCACTGTGTCGGGCAGTGGGGACACAGCAGTAAACAGATCAAAGTGCTGCCCCCATGAAGTTTATGTGTCAGCAGTCCCTTCACTGAGCCAAACTCCCTCCTGCCCCAGGCCTTGCACAGGCTGTTCCTTCTCCCGGTAGCTGTCCCCACCCCACCCGCCACATCTTCACCTGATTTATGCCTACTCACCCTTCTGAGCCCAGTGCAAATGTCAACACACTCACAGCACCCTGGGCTTCCCATCCTGTTCCCTGTCCCAAAGCTGGGGTTTTTGTCTTCTTTGTTCCCAGCTGCATCCCTGGTGCCTAGAACAGTGCTTGGCACACAGTAGGTGCTCAGTGAGTGTCTATCAAATGGCTGCGTGGATGGAATTGAGTGGATGCAGAGAATCTGTCTGTCTCTTGGCTCCCCGGTCAGTGCTCTACGCTATTCTACACTCCTGGTGGCGACAGGCAAGGCCCTCAAACTTCTTGGATGCAAGCAAGGTAGTGACTGAAAGGTGGGCTCTAGGTTCAGAGCTGTGTGGCTTTGGATCTCAACTCTGACACTTCCCAGCTGTGTAACCTTGGGCAGGGCGCTTCCGTGCTCTGAGCCTTAATTTCCTCACTTGTAAAATGTAGTCACAGAGTGTATCCACAGCCCTGGCCAGGGTGGCTCAATGGGTTGGGCATCATTCCCATCAACCAAAGGTTGCTGGTTCAATTCTCTGTCAGGGCATATGCCAGGGTTGTGGGCTGGATCCCTGGTAGGGGTTGTGCAGGAGGCCTCCGATTGCAGTTTCTCTCTTCCTCTCTCTAAAAAGCAGTAAATATATATTTTAAAGAGAATACATAAGCAAATGCATGTAATTACTAATTATTACAATAACTAGAGGCCCGGTACACAAAATTCGTGCACCGGTAAAGTCCCTAGGCCTGGCTGGCGATCAGGGCCAATCAGGTTCCCGCCTCCCTGCCTCCTCCTTCCCTCGCTCCCTCAGCACCATCTTCTGTGCCACCCCCTGGTGGTCAGCTCACATCATAGCGAGCAATCCAACTCCCGGTCTCCTGATCGAATTCCCAAGGGGACACTTTGCATATTAGCCTTTTAAATATATAGATACTAACCATTTTTCACCTCGCATAAATTTAATTTAATCCTCAAAATAACTTCATGACATCGAATCTGGGTTTTTTAATTTTTCCTCATTCGCCCTGGCCAGTTGCTCAGTCGGTTGAGTGTCATCATGTGCACCAAAAGGTCGCCAATTAGATTCCTGGTCAGGGCACATGCCTGGGTTGCAGGTTGATCCCCAGTTGGGGTGGGTATGGGAAGCAACTGACCAATGTTTCTCTCTCACATTGATGTTTCTCTATGTCCCTCTCCCTTCCTCTCTCTAAAAATTCAAATAAAAAAAAGAAAAAAGAAGAGTGCTTTCTCACATACAAAAGGGGAAACGGAGGCCTTGAGGTAGGATTTGAACTCTGGTGCTTGGCACCCAGTCACACACACTGACCAGAGCCCTACAGCCGCCCCCCAATGCCTGGGCCGCCTCAGAACCTGAGTGTCTGGAACGCGCCCTGGGAAGCTGGCAAGCCCATCTGTGCACACATCTCTGAGCGCATGCGCATGGCACACTTCCTTCTGCGAGTCTCTCCCTGTGGAACGGGGCTGCCTGTGCACCCTGTGTGCTGAGTGCGAGGGTCAGGCTGGACGAGTGGGCTTTGGGAGCCTAGACCTGCATGCACACATTGGTGACTATGTAGCTCTGGACCTTCTCCAAGGGGTTTAACCTCCGGGAGCCTCAGTTGTCTCCTCTGTGAAATGGGAATAACAGAACTGCACAGTTGTCCTGGCCACTGCGGCTCAGTTGGTTGAGCGTCCTCCCGTGCACCCAGAGGTTGACAGTTCAATTCCCGGTCAGGGCACATGCCTGGTAGGGGCTGTGCAGGAGGCAGCCGATCCATGTATCTCTCTCTTCCTCAAATTGGTAAGAACATATTTTTTTAAAAAACTGCAGATTAAGCCTTAACTGGTTTGGCTCAGTGGATAGAGCATTGGCCTGCGGACTGAAGGGTCCCATGTTCGATTCCGGTCAAGGGCATGTACCTTGGTTGCGGGCACATCACCAGTAGTGGGTGTGCAGGATGTTTCTCTCTCATCGATGTTTCTAACTCTCTCTCTCTCTCCCTTCCTCTCTGTAAAAATCAATAAAATATATTTAAATATATATATATTTAAACAAAAACACAAAACTGCACATTAAATGAGAAAACGTTTTCATAGCATTTAGCCCAGGGCCCAGATCAGAGTCAGTGGGGATTATTAGCATTAACTGCTATTAATACATCAATGACTATTTCCTGCTTATTTTAAGAAATAGTCATTCCCCTGGCTGGTGTGCTCAATGGTTAGAGCGTCAGCCTGCACACAGAAAGGGCACAGGTTTGATTCCGGTCAAGGGCTCCCACCTAGGTTGCAGGTTCGATCCCCCACCCAGTTGGGGCATGTTTGGGAGGCAACCAATCGATGTGTCTCTCTCACATCAATGTTTTTTTTCCTCTCTCTCTCCCCCGCTACCCTCCCTCCCTCCCACTCTCTCTAAAAATCAATAGAAAAATCCTCGGGTGAGGATTAAAAAAGAAATAAATATTCATTAAGCACCTACTGGGTGTCCATCCTTTTCCAATTCTGACTTTCCCTCTAAAACCTCTGGATCCCTTTGGAAACAGGTTTATTGTCCATATTTTCTTTTTTTTAATTTTAAATATATTTGTATTGATTTCAGAGAGGAAGGGAGAGGGAGAGATAGACACATCAATGATGAGAGAGAATCGTTGATCCGCTGCCTCCTGCACGCCCCCCGACCGGGGATCCAGCTACAACATGGGCACGTGCCCTGACCGGGCATCGAACCAGGACCTCCTGGTTCATGGGTCGACGCTCACCCACTGAGCCACACCGGCCAGGCTATCCGTTTTTGTTTTTTGGTTTTTTTTTGATGAGGAGATTGGGGCTCAGAGCAAAGCGCGAGATGACAAAGGCGGGAGCCGACCCAGGCAGGATTCGAACCCAGGTGCCTGCTCGGCACCTTCACGCGGGCTGAGACTCCACCGCTGGCGCCCAGGCCCCGCCTCCCCTCCCACCGCGGCCCGCGGGGCTCCTCAGACTGAGGTCCCGGGTCCCGCGGGGGAGGGGGCCGCGGCGGCGGGGGCGGGAGGCGTGGATGCCTAGATCTGAGAATGGAGCGGGCGGGAGCTCCGGACCCTGGGTCCTGGGAGCGGAGGTGGCTGGGCTCCCCGGCTCCTCTGTTTGAGAGAAGAGGGGCTGTGGGCTGGCACCCCTGGATCCTGGGGGAGCAGGAAGTCCTGGCGCCCGATCTCTGGATCCTCTGGACACGCACTGGGTCCCTGACGCTTCGGTCCGGGGACCTCTCCCTCCTCCCTCCCAGCAGCGCGCGATGCGAT